TGTTATGTTTTGAAGTGACTAACAGTTGTGTGTTTCATTCTGTTTATGTTCTTACTGTCATGTTTTGAAGTGACTAACAGTTGTGTGTTTTATTCTGTGTATGTTCTTACTGTTATGTTTTGAAGTGACTAACAGTTGTGTGTTTCATTCTGTTTATGTTCTTACTGTCATGTTTTGAAGTGACTAACAGTTGTGTGGATTATTCTGTTGATGTTCTTACTGCTATGTTTTGAAGTGACTAACAGTTATGTGTTTTATTCTGTTTATGTTCTTACTGCTATGTTTTGAAATGACTAACAGTTGTGTGTTTTTTTCTGTTTCTGTTCTTACTGTCATGTTTTGAAGTGACTAACAGTTGTGTATTTTATTCTGTTTATGTTCTTACTGTCATGTTTTGAAGTGACTAACAGTTGTGTATTTTATTCTGTTGATGTTCTGTTATGTTTTGAAGTGACTAACAGTTGTGTATTTTATTCTGTTTATGTTCTTACTGTCATGTTTTGAAGTGACTAACAGTTGTGTATTTTATTCTGTTTATGTTCTTACTGTCATGTTTTGAAGTGACTAACAGTTGTGTATTTTATTCTGTTGATGTTCTGTTATGTTTTGAAGTGACTAACAGTTGTGTATTTTATTCTGTTTATGTTCTTACTGTCATGTTTTGAAGTGACTAACAGTTGTGTATTTTATTCTGTTTATGTTCTTACTGTCATGTTTTGAAGTGACTAACAGTTGTGTATTTTATTCTGTTGATGTTCTGTTATGTTTTGAAGTGACTAACAGTTGTGTATTTTATTCTGTTTATGTTCTTACTGTCATGTTTTGAAGTGACTAACAGTTGTGTGTTTTATTCTGTTTATGTTCTTACTGTTATGTTTTGAAGTGACTAACAGTTGTGTGTTTTATTCTGTTGATGTTCTAACTGCTATGTTTTGAAGTGACTAACAGTTGTGTATTTTATTCTGTTTCTGTTCTTACTGTTATGTTTTGGAGTGACTAACAGTTGTGTGTTTTATTCTGTTTATGTTCTTACTGTCATGTTTTGAAGTGACTAACAGTTGTGTATTTTATTCTGTTTATGTTCTTACTGTCATGTTTTGAAGTGACTAACAGTTGTGTTTTTCATTCTGTTTATGTTCTTACCGCTATGTTTTGAAGTGACTAACAGTTGTGTATTTTATTCTGTTTCTGTTCTTACTGTTATGTTTTGGAGTGACTAACAGTTGTGTGTTTTATTCTGTTTATGTTCTAACTGCTATGTTTTGAAGTGACTAACAGTTGTGTATTTTATTCTGTTTCTGTTCTTACTGTTATGTTTTGGAGTGACTAACAGTTGTGTGTTTTATTCTGTTTATGTTCTTACTGTCATGTTTTGAAGTGACTAACAGTTGTGTGTTTTATTCTGTGTATGTTCTTACTGTCATGTTTTGAAGTGACTAACAGTTGTGTTTTTCATTCTGTTTACGTTCTTACTGTTATGTTTTGAAGTGACTAACAGTTGTGTATTTTTATTCTGTTGATGTTCTTACTGTCATGTTTTAAAGTGACTAACAGTTGTGTGTTTTATTCTGTGTATGTTCTTACTGTCATGTTTTGAAGTGACTAACAGTTGTGTATTTTATTTTGTGTATGTTCTTACTGTCATGTTTTGAAGTGACTAACAGTTGTGTGTTTTATTCTGTTTATGTTCTTACTGTCATGTTTTGAAGTGACTAACAGTTGTGTGTTTTATTCTGTTTATGTTCTTACCGCTATGTTTTGAAGTAACTAACAGTTCTGTATTTTATTCTGTTTATGTTCTTACTGTCATGTTTTTAAGTGACTAACAGTTGTGTGTTTTATTCTGTTTAAGTTCTTACTGTCATGTTTTTAAGTGACTAACAGTTGTGTGTTTTATTCTGTTTATGTTCTTACTGTCATGTTTTGAAGTGACTAACAGTTGTGTGTTTTATTCTGTTTATGTTCTTACTGTCATGTTTTGAAGTGACTAACAGTTGTGTGTTTTATTCTGTTTGTGTTCTTACTGTCATGTTTTGAAGTGACTAACAGTTGTGTTTTATTCTGTTTATGTTCTTACTGAGATGTTTTGAAGTGACTAACAGTTGTGTGTTTTATTCTGTTTGTGTTCTTACTATCATGTTTTGAAGTGACTAACAGTTGTGTGTTTTATTCTGTTTAAGTTCTTACTGTGATGTTTTGAAGTGACTAACAGTTGTGTGTTTTATTCTGTCAATGTTCTTACTGAAATGTTTTGAAGTGACTAACAGTTGTGTTTTTCATTCTGTTTATGTTCTTACTGTCATGTTTTGAAGTGACTAACAGTTGTGTATTTTATTCTGTTGATGTTCTTACTGTCATGTTTTGAAGTGACTAACAGTTGTGTGTTTTATTCTGTTTAAGTTCTTACTGTCATGTTTTGAAGTGACTAACAGTTGTGTGTTTTATTCTGTCAATGTTCTTACTGAAATGTTTTGAAGTGACTAACAGTTGTGTATTTTATTCTGTTTATGTTCTTACTGTTATGTTTAAGTGACTAACAGTTGTGTGTTTTATTCTGTTTAAGTTCTTACTGTCATGTTTTGAAGTGACTAACAGTTGTGTGTTTTATTCTGTTGATGTTCTTACTGTCATGTTTTGAAGTGACTAACAGTTGTGTATTTTATTCTGTTTATGTTCTTACTGTTATGTTATGAAGTGACTAACAGTTGTGTATTTTATTCTGTTTATGTTCTTACTGTTATGTTTTGAAGTGACTAACAGTTGTGTGTTTTATTCTGTTTATGTTCTTACTGTCATGTTATGAAGTGACTAACAGTTGTGTGTTTTATCCTGTTTATGTTCTTACTGTTATGTTTTGAAGTGACTAACAGTTGTGTATTTTATTCTGTTTATGTTCTTACTGTCATGTTTTGAAGTGACTAACAGTTGTGTGTTTTATTCTGTGTATGTTCTTACTGTTATGTTTTGAAGTGACTAACAGTTGTGTGTTTCATTCTGTTTATGTTCTTACTGTCATGTTTTGAAGTGACTAACAGTTGTGTGTTTTATTCTGTCAATGTTTTTACTGAAATGTTTTGAAGTGACTAACAGTTTTATGTTTTATTCTGTTTATGTTCTTACTGTCATGTTTTGAAGTGACTAACAGTTGTGTGTTTTATTCTGTGTATGTTCTTACTGTTATGTTTTGAAGTGACTAACAGTTGTGTGTTTCATTCTGTTTATGTTCTTACTGTCATGTTTTGAAGTGACTAACAGTTGTGTGTTTTATTCTGTGTATGTTCTTACTGTTATGTTTTGAAGTGACTAACAGTTGTGTGTTTCATTCTGTTTATGTTCTTACTGTTATGTTTTGAAGTGACTAACAGTTGTGTGTTTCATTCTGTTTATGTTCTTACTGTCATGTTTTGAAGTGACTAACAGTTGTGTATTTTATTCTGTTTATGTTCTTACTGTCATGTTTTGAAGTGACTAACAGTTGTGTGTTTTATTCTGTTTATGTTCTTACTGTCATGTTTTGAAGTGACTAACAGTTGTGTATTTTATTCTGTTTATGTTCTTACTGTTATGTTTTGAAGTGACTAACAGTGTTCTTACTGAGATGTTTTGAAGTGACTAACAGTTGTGTATTTTATTCTGTTGATGTTCTTACTGTTATGTTTTGAAGAGACTAACAGTTGTGTGTTTTATTCTGTTTATGTTCTTACTGTCATGTTTTTAAGTGACTAACAGTTGTGTGTTTTATTCTGTTTCTGTTCTTACTGTTATGTCTTGAAGTGACTAACAGTTGTGTGTTTTATTCTGTTTAAGTTCTTACTGTCATGTTTTGAAGTGACTAACAGTTGTGTATTTTATTCTGTTTATGTTCTTACTGTTATGTTTTGAAGTGACTAACAGTTGTGTGTTTTATTCTGTTTAAGTTCTTACTGTCATGTTTTGAAGTGACTAACAGTTGTGTGTTTTATTCTGACAATGTTCTTACTGAAATGTTTTGAAGTGACTAACAGTTTTATGTTTTATTCTGTTTATGTTCTTACTGTTATGTTTTGAAGTGACTAACAGTTTTATGTTTTATTCTGTTTATGTTCTTACTGAAATGTTTTGAAGTGACTAACAGTTGTGTATTTCATTCTGTTTATGTTCTTACTGTTATGTTTTGAAGTGACTAACAGTTGTGTATTTTATTCTGTTTATGTTCTTACTGTCATGTTTTGAAGTGACTAACAGTTGTGTGTTTTATTCTGTTTATGTTCTTACTGTTATGTTTTGAAGTGACTAACAGTTGTGTGTTTTATTCTGTTTATGTTCTTACTGTCATGTTTTGAAGTGACTAACAGTTGTGTGTTTTATTCTGTTTATGTTCTTACTGTTATGTTTTGAAGTGACTAACAGTGTTCTTACTGAGATGTTTTGAAGTGACTAACAGTTGTGTATTTTATTCTGTTTCTGTTCTTACTGTCATGTTTTGAAGTGACTAACAGTTGTGTGTTTTATTCTGTTTATGTTCTTACTGTCATGTTTTGAAGTGACTAACAGTTGTGTGTTTTATTCTGTTTATGTTCTTACTGTCATGTTTTGTAGTGACTTATAGTTATGTGTTTTATTCTGCTAATGTTCTTACTGTCATGTTTTGAAGTGACTTGCAGTTGTGTATTTTATTCTGTTTATGTTCTTACTGTCATGTTTTGAAGTGACTTGCAGTTGTGATTGATACTGTATTAATCTGCTGTATTGTTAACCAGCAAGGTTTAAGTTATTTAAAGTAAGTGATTTATATTGTTTATGTTCAACTGTCAGGTTTTGAAGTAACATGCAATTGTATTTCATTCTATTACAATTTGCTGTATTTTCAAGTAACATGTAGTTATGTGATTTATATTGCTCAAGTAAGATCTACTATATTCTGAAGTTATCTGTAGTTGTGTGGTTTTTTTTTACTGTACATAATTAATTTGCTCTAGTACTAATTTGGATGTTTCTTCTGTACCTAATGAGACTGTTTTACCTACCGATTGATAATCAATGTCTGCTTTATTCTCTAAGCATATTTTCACATCGTGTACATTTCCAGTCCGAGCATCTGCAAGAAGTTTCTGTAAGTAAAACATAGATTTTACATTTAATAGATTGTAATGAAAAATAAATGAAACAACTGTTAAATAAAGCAATAATTATTTATTATCCTGCATGACAAATAACTATATAAATCGGGGGTATCCTCACTTCAAATAACATTCAGGCAGAGAGGATATGTACCGATTATCAGGTTGCCTGCATATTGACATTGTTAAGAATCAGCTGTGATTCATAATATGATGCCCTCACAGATGCAAGTGTTATTTTAACATACACAAAGTTGAGCATGGGAGCACATAGGTCTATGGTTCACTGTAGGAGGAGTTATCTGGAAACGCTATGCGCCTCTTAAATATGCAAATATATACTCCAAAAATGATAAAGTTCAACTATCTCCCAAAAGAGCAAATATTAATCAAAATCTAAACCCTGACGACATGCACACCTTCAATATATGTTCAAACAGCCAGCAAAGTTAAAACTACCTAGCATTCAAACTGTAGGAGGAGTTATCTGGAATAACTATATACCCATAATGGGACGGAAGGACAGACAGGGGTAAAACAATATGCCCCCAGCTTTCAGTTGATGGGGCATAAAAAAAACTTTTGGATAACAATGGTGCGTTGTGTCAATTTACACTTTATACCATAAAATAGATATGTTTTTTTTCAACTAACGAACTTAACAATTGCAAGAGGAGAGAACTTCTGTATTTTTTATTTATTAAAAATTGTCCAATATTTTCTCTAACAACTCAATAGGGTTATGTATTTGACATTGTAAACAAGCATTCTGAAGGTACTAGATATAGAATAAACCTTAAGAGAGTGTATACACTTATATTTAAAAAACATTCGATACATTTCTGAAAATGAAAAAACCTAAAACACTAAACTGCCACTAAATTTTGCATGATAATCAGCTCCAAGTTACTGACACCATGACCTCAGAGGATTTCTGGCAAGTTACTAATGATTTATAAAAAAAATGGGGAATGTGTCCATGGGAAACAGATGATGCCCCCGCTTGCATATAACGTTATAAAGGGCCATAACTCAAGAACTGTAAAAGTGACACTACCCAAATTTCAACTTGATCTGAGTTTTGTGGTAATAAGAATTTTTTATAAGTTTCATAACATTTAGTTGAGGTAAACTTAAATTAGAGAACAGAAACGAAAAATTCAGCAATTCTTCCATTTTTAAAGGGGCATAACTCTAGAACAGTAGATTGATTGATGGTTGGTTGCTTAACGTCCACTAGAACAGTAGAAGTGATGCCACCAAAATTCAACCTTTATCTGTGTTTTGTGGTAATTAGCATTGTGCATAAGTTTCATAATATTTGGTTGAGGCAAATTAAAGTTAGAGAACAGAAACAAATATTTCAGCAATTTTGAGATTTGTTAAGGGGCATAACTCTAGAACGGTAAAAGTGATGCCAACAAAATTCAAACTTGATCTGTGTATTGTGGTAATTAGCATTGTGCATAACATTTGGTTGAGGCAAACTAAAGTTAGAGAAAAACTAATATTTCAGCAATTTTTCCATTGGAAAGGGGCATAACTTTTAGAACGGTAAAAGTGACACCACCAAAATTCAAACTTGATCTGTGTTTTGTGGTAATAAATATTGTGGATAAGTTTCATAACATTTGCATGATTTGGTTGAGGTAAACTCTTTAGAGAACGGAAACAAAAAAATCAGCAATTTTTTCATTTGTAAAGGAGCATAACTCTAGAATGGTAAAAGTGACCCCACCAAAATTCAAACTCGAACTGTGTTTTGGGGTAAGTTTCATTGTGGATAAGTTTCATATCATTTGGTTGAGGCAAACTAAAGTTAGAGAACGGTAACCAATTTTGGGACGTACGGACGGGCGTACGGACATACAGACGGACAAGGGTAAAACTTAATGCCCCCTCCGCTATGGCCGGGGCATAAAAATAAAACAGGCAAGAAATTTCAGGCAGTTTATGCCTATCTTTGCTATGAGTTATTAGCAACACCTTAGTCAAATGTTTGTAGTACATTTTTCTTTGTCCCAATCTTTGTTGTGTTTGTTTTATCTTTGATCTTGTAATATCTTTTTTTGTAGGTCACGTAGAATTCTACTAGTTTGTATCTCAAATCATCACATACATTTATTTTTGGTAAGAAAATGGAAATAAAAGGTCACATGACAATTGGACTTAAAAGTAAATCTTACCTCATTCCAATATTCCATTATATCCTAAAAATAGAAAAAAAAATATTTCAAATATATACTGTTGTAGTTATCATTGAGTTATAATTGTTAATGCCAATTGAAAATACATGATCATTATGGACTTGAAAATTACTGACCTAATATTTTCAGATATTAATCTAATCCAAAAACATGTAATACTAGCATCTAAAAGACTATCTCAACTTTTCTGCACTATTTGAAATTTGTGTCGCTCACCTGGTGAAAATATTGCTAGTTTGCTCACTACAATTTTTATATGCACATACTAGTTACTCTTTGTGTTGCTGATATTTATGCAATTTACATATTTAACCTCGCTCCTATAGGTTTTTAGATAACAGCCAAAACTGCAAACATGAGTACACACGCTGAATTGCCAGAAATACATGTACATCTTACAATCATTCCATACACCAAATATAGTTGATCTTTTGCTAGTAGTATACAAGACAGACCAAATCATTAAAATTTTATATTGACAAATGAACCATGAAAATTAGGTCAAGGACAGATGAACCCTGTCAGACAGACATATTCACCTTACAATCATTCCATGGATCAAATATAGTTGACCTATTGCATATAGTATTATGGAAAAAACTAAACCAGGAAAACATCATAGTGACCAATGAACCATGAAAAAGATGTCAAGTTTAGATGATACCTGCAAGAAAGGTTTTCCTGTTTGAATTGTTTTACACTAGTCATTTTTGGGTCTTTATAGCTTGCTGTTCAGTGTGAGCCAAGGCTCGGTGTTGAAGGCCATACTTTGACCTATAATGGTTTACTTTTTACACATTGTGAGTGGGATGGAGAGTTGTCTCATTTGCACTCATATAACATCTTCTTATATCTATATAGTATATACACTTTAAAATCATTCCATACACCAAATATAGTTGACCCATTGCTTATAGTTTAAAGAAAAACGACCAAAACAAAAAACTTAACATTGAGAAATGAGCCATGAAAATGAGGTCAAGGTCAAATAAAACCTGCCAGACTAACTTGTACATAATAAAATATTTCATCATATATAGTCGACCTATTGCATACAGTTATAGAATAAAATGCTCCGCAGGGTGCAGCTTGATACAACCGCAGAGGTCGAACCCTGAACAGTTGGGGCAAGTATGGACACAACATTCAAGCTTGATACAGCTCTGAATTTGGATTGTGATTAAATATTTGACACAGCATAGGTTACTGACACAGAATGAATGTGGTCTAAGAACTTAAAAATTTTAAATTGGACATTCACCTTTTATGGTCCAATATCCAAAATCTGAATACATGGTTAGATTCAGCATATCAAAGAACCCCAAGAATTCAATTTTTGATGAAATCAAACAAAGTTTAATATAGGACCCTTTTGACCTCAATGTGGACAAAGTTGATAATGGGGCCCAAAAAATCAAAAATCTAAATACATGGTTAGATTCAGCATATCAAAGAACCCCATATATTCAATTTTTGTTGAAATCAAACAAAGTTTAATTTTGGACCCCGATTTGGACCAACTTGAAAACTGGGCCCATAATCAAAAATCTAAATACATGTTTAGATTCAGCATATCAAAGAACCCTAAGAATTAAATTTTTGTTAAAATCAAACTTAGTTTAATTTTGGACCCTTTGGACATTAATGTAGACCAATTTGAAAATGGATCCAAAAATTAAGAATCTAAATACACGGTTAGATTCGGCATATCAAGGAACCCCAATAATTCAATGTTTGATGAAATCAAACAAAGTTTAATTTTGGACCCTTTGGACCTCAATGTGGACCAATTTAAAAACGGGGCCCAAAATCCAAAAACTTAATTCACGGTTAGATTCAGCACATTAAAGAACCCCAAGAATTCAAGAATAAAACCCCATTGAAATTGGTCAAGAAATAAGCAATTTATACGAAATATCTTCTTTTGCACAATACTGTGCAATTGAATATTTCTTGCTATTGCGCAATACTGTACAATTGACAATTTCTTGCTATTGCGCAATATTGTGCTATTGGATATTTCTTGCTATTGCACAATACTGTGCAATTGAAGATTTCTTGCTATTGCGCAATACTGTGCAATGGAAGATTTCTTGCTATTGTGCAATACTGTGCAATTGAAAATTTCTTGCTATTGCACAATACTTATTATATAATAATTTACACATCCTGTTTGGTGTGTATCTCCTACCATATCATTATTATTTGCTTTTAAATATAAATCAGAAATAACCAACTTAAAATGGAAAATTTTAAAAGAAAAAAAAAAGGAAAAAAAGAAAAAAAAGGGAAAAAAAAAAATCCCCCCCCCCAATTTCTTGAAACCCCTTATGATTCATCACCCCCAAACTCAATCCCAGCCTTCCCTTTGTGGTATGGAACCTTGCAGTACAATTTCAGAGAGATCCATACACTTACACACAAGTTATTGTCCTGAAAGTAGAAAAATGCTTGTTTTTTTTATCCCTTTTTGGCCCCTAATTCCTAAAATTTTGAGGCAATTACCCCCAAAATCAATCCCAGCCTTCCCTTTTTGGTATGGTACCTTGCAGTACAATTTCAGAGAGATCCATACACTTGAACACAAGTAATTGTCTGGAAACTAGAAAAATGCTATTTTTGGCCCCTTATTCCTAAACGTTTTGGGCAATTACCCCCAAACTCAATTCCAGCTTTCCCTTTGTGATATGGAACCTTGTAGTTCAATTTCAGAAAGATCCATACACTTACACACAAGTTATTATCATGAAACTAGAAAAATGCTTGTTTTTAGCCCCTTTTTTGGCCCCTAATTCCTAAAATTTTGAGGCAATTACCCCCAAAATCAATCCCAGCATTCCCTTTGTGATATGGAACCTTGTGGTACAATGTCAGAGAGATTCATACACTAACACACAAGTTATGTCTGGAAGTTACAAAAATGCTTATTTTTGGCCCCTTTTTGGCCCCTAATTCCTTAACTGTTGGTACCATAACCCCCAAAATCAATCCCAACCTTCCTTTTGTGATATTGAACCTTATGGTAAAATTTCACGGAGATCTATTCACTTAAACTAAAGTTAGAGTGCGAAAACCAATGTGTCTTCGGACGACGCCGGACGACACCAGACGACGACGACGACGACGACGACAACGCCAACGTCATACCAATATACGACCAAAAATTTTTTAATTTTTGCGGTCGTATAAAAACAGACCAAAACAAAACAACTTAACTATATCCACTGAACCATGAAAATGAGGTCAAAGTCAGATGACACCTGGCAGTTGGACATGTACAGCTTACAATCATTCCATACACCAAATATAGTAGACCTATTGCTTATATGCTTATTTCTGAGATATGGACTTGACCACGAAAACTTAACCTTGTTCACTGATCTGTGAAATGAGGTCAAGGTCAAGTGAAAACTATCTGACAGGCATGATGACCTTGCAAGGCACGCACATACCAAATATAGTTATCCTATTACTCATAATAAGAAAGAAATTAACAATACAAAAAACTTGAATTTTTTTTCAAGTAGTTACTGAACTATGAAAATGCGGTCAAGGAAAATTGACATATCATATCATATGACAGCCATTGCCGCTGGATCACTATCCCTGTCGAGCTTTCTGCGAGAGAAGTCGCAGGCATGAACAAAAACCTGTAAAAATCAATATTTCAGGGGCAATAACTCCAAAACTTGTAGTAAAAAAAAACTGAGTAAAAAGATCTTGTCATGCTGATCGTAATTATAGTTTACACTTTTAACCTATAGCTAGCTCGTAGTTTTACAAATAACAGGCAAAAATGAAAAAAATTGGAAAAATGTATTTTTCAGGGCAATAACTCAAAAACACAGGTTTACATATTTTTTTCAACATTTCCAGAGTTATAAAATCTTGTCAAGCTGACCATTTTTGTAATTTACACTTTTAACCTAGCGCCTACATGTTTATCAATAATAACAGGATAAAACTTTAAATAAATGTGCTTCGCGAGCGCAGCTGGATACTACCGCTGAGGTCCAACCCTGAACAGTTGAGGCAAAAATGGACACAATATTCAAGCTTGATACAGGTATGAATTTGGATTGTAATTAAATATTTGACACATTATAGATTTCTGACACAGAATAAATGTAGTCAAAGAACTTGAAATTGGTTATATGATTTGAATTTATATTCAATTGAAGATTTCTTGCTGCTGTGCAATACACTGTGCTGTTGCGCAATACTTAGTAAATCTGTTTTCAGACTATATACAAAGAATTAGCAAAATAAATTGTGACCCCCAATTTTTTTTTTGGAAAATTGATACTTTCTTAAATCTTGAGGGAAAAAAATTGACCCCCCAAAAAAAATTTTTTTTTGTTTACCCCCTCCAAAAAAAATAATTTTTGAAGAAATTTTCTTTTTGTAAAATGTGGTACAATTTAAGAGACATCCATACATTTAAACACAATTGTCTGAAAACTTAGAAAAATGCTTGTTTTGGCCCCTTTTTGGCCCCTTATTCCTGAAAGGTGTGGGCAATTACCCCCAAAATGAATACCAACCTTCTACTTGTGGTATTGAACCTTGTGGTACAATTTCAGAGCAATCAAAATACTTATACACAAGTTATTGTCCTGAAACTAGAAAAATGCTTGTTTTGGGCCCCTTTTTGGCCCCTAATTCCTAAACTGGTTAGGACCATCACCCCCAAAAACAATCCCAACCTTCCTTTTGTGGTATTGAACCTTTTGGTTAAATTTCATAGAGATCTGTACACTTAACCAAATGTCTTCGGACGACGACAACGTGATAGCAATATACGAACGCAAATTTTTTGCGGTCGTATAAAAATGATTTTTCAGGGGCAATAACTCTAAAACAGGGTGACAGATTTTTCTCCAATTTTTAGGTTAGATACATTTTGTTGTGTTGCAACTTTTTGCAATTTACACTTTTAACCTAACTCCTATAGTTTTTATGATAGCAGCCACCAACTGTGAAAAATTCTAAAATAGATAGTTCAGAGACAAAAACAAGTGGTTAGTTTTTACCAAATTTTCAGGGTGGATACATCTTGTCGTGCTGATAATTTTTACAGTTTACACTTTTAACCTAGCTCCTATAATTTTGGTAGATCTTACTTTGTGGAACATTTTTGCCACTAAAGGTTTCTCTCTATCTATCATAGTTTCTGCATCTTTCAAGGGCAATAACTCCAATAAGGGATTAATTTACAATTTTGTTCAGTTTGACTTATTTGTAGATTTTTTTAAACTTGCTGAACATTTTTGCTGTTGAAATTTCTCTGTATCTTTAATAGTTTTCTAGATAAAATCGAAAAACAGAAACTTTAATAACAATTATTATTTCAGGGGCAGTAACTCCATATAGGGTTGTCCCGTTGGTTTGAAATTTTCGTGGCAGATAAATCTTTACATGCTTATCACATGTATCATTTTTATTTAGGTCAGTTTTGCTTTAACTGCTTTTTTTTCAGATATAAGCCATAAACTTCTTTTTTTGCCCTATGTTTTATTTTCTTTGTCATGGCGGTCATGTTTCTTGATAGACAAAAAAACACAAACTTTATACTAGATACCTTAAGGATAATTCAGCCCAAGTTTGATAAAATTGGTCCCCTGTTTTCAGAGAAGATCTCTGAAAAATTAACATGGGAAGACGGAAAGACGACCGACGCAAAGGGATGGCAAAAGCTCACATGGCCTTTTAGGCCAGCTGAGCTAAAAACTAAACTCAAAACCTTGTATATCTAATTACATACCTAAATGAGGTATTCTACAAACAGGGTGTGATTTTTTCCTTCAAACACAAAAACATCAATTGCACTTTTGCCGACCTAAAAATTTCAAAAGTTTTATTTACCAGCATTAAGACAATATTGAATTCATTAATTTCCAGCCTCTCTAAAATAAACTGTCCACAAATGAGCAAGGCAATCATGGCAATCACATTAAACAATTGTTCTTTTTACACTCTCTTTGTGTGCGTGTCCATTTCGAGGAACCTGTAGTAAAGTGGTTGTTGTTGGTAGCTGTATTCCCTCCCCTGTTTTCATTGTTGTAATAGGCTGTTGATTTTCTCTTTTGATTTGTTACACATTTTATCATATCAGTGCTGTTTATAGATTTTTATATTATTATATGGTATTGGTTTTGTGCAATTTCAAAGGCTATTGAGAGACCTGTCAATCTGATGTTCAGTAGTTGTCGTTTGTTGATGTGGTTCATAAATGTTTCTCGTTTTTTATATAGATTAGACAGTTGGTTTTCCCGTTTGAATGGTTTTACACTAGTAATTTTTTGGGGCCCTTTATAGCTTGCTGTTCATTGTGAGCCAAGGCTCCTTGTTGAAGGCCGATCTACGACCTAAAATGGTTTAATTTTATAAATTGTGACTTGGAGGGAGAGTTGTCTCATTGGCACTCATACCTCATCTTCTTATATCTATTATCTGTAGTTGTTTATATCTTTGTCCTTCGAATTCTGACTAGGGATAACTGTTTCACCATCATTCATACAACATCTCTTAATCAAAAAACCTTTGTGAGCACACTTTCATACCCAACACCCCCACATTGTCACTGGGCAAACAAAATCTCGCCCAATTTCTAAGTTCAAAGCATATAACTCCTACAAAAGTCAACTGATAAAAATTTCTTGAGTATATGCACATCTACATATTATGTCCTAATTATCTACAAAGTTTCATGAAATTCTGTTGTGTGGTTTGAGAGAAGTTGCTATGACAAGAACAGGACTGAGAGACGGACGGACTGACTGACTGACTGACTGACTAACGGACTGACGGATGAGTCAAAAACATTATACCCTACTGAACTTTGTTCCATGGGGTATAATTATTATATAACAAAATGGTATAATGATCAAAGATATATTCCCCCACTTTCTAACAGGATTGAAGTTTCAAATTTACTTCTATTAGTAAGTAAGTTCTAAAATTTGCTTTAAAGAATATAAGGTCCTGGACCATTTGAATTTTTAAGAGAAAGGCCCTTCAGAAAGTCATAGGTCCTAAAAAAAAACATCAATGTAAAAAGATGGGAGGTTTTGGACTTTTGTGTTTCAAAAACCAAAGGTTTCCTCTCAGAAATGAAAGGTTATGTACCTTGGACTTCCAATAATTTAAACCCCTGAAAAGTTAAGTCATAATATTTCAAAGTTTTATTATAAAGCCATATTTTCGGTTGGTGCATTAAAGTCCTTAAATCAACATGATCAAAGCCCTCTTCAAAAATGACACTAGCCTATTCTGTTTGTGCCTGTCTCAAGTCAGGAGCCTGTTATTCAGTTGTATCGTTTGTTGCTGTATATCATATTTGGTTTTGGTTTATTGTTTTTTTTTACATACTTCATGCGATTAATTTTTTGGTTTTGTCAGATTGTTTTGCATTGGTAATTTCTGGGCCTTTTATAGAATACTATGCAATATGGGTTTCGCTCATTGTTGAAGGTAGTACGGTTACCTATAGTTGTTAACTTCTACGTCATTTGGTCTCTGGTGGAGAGTTATCTCATTGGCAATCATACCACATCTTCTTATTTTTATAAAGAAAACTTTGATGAAAAGTTTCCTTGTAAAATGAGGGTTGTAAAATTTCAATCTATTGGCAAAAAGGAAGTGGCTACACAGCAGATGCAAAAATTGCTAACATGCCACAACTCAAGATTATCAAGATGCAGACCAAATATAAAAGCATTCCCTTCCTTCATTGTCCTTAGAAGCCAAGAAAAGTTTTACAAAAATTTTCCTTGAACAATGAGTGTTGTAAAATTTCAAACTTTTGAAAAAAGAAAGTGGCTGCACGGAAAATGTTAAAATTTGTAACAGGTTACCACTCAACATTATCAAGGTGCTGACCTAATATAAAAAGGTTCACTTTAGGCCAAATATGGCCTTGAATTTCAACTTTATCAGAAAATTTCAAATGGCCATAATTTGGTTTCTTAAATGGATCTATTTCAAAAGTCTTACTTCTTTGTTAAAATAAATCTCTTCATAAGAGTACATTCTTGGCTTCAAAATCAGCACATTTTAGATATACATGTATTGTCAAAATAAGATGATTTTATGCATTTTTTCTGACCTAAAAGCTTGAGGCAACCCTTGGCTGCAACCTAGGATCCAAAATGTTCTGTAACCAAAAGTTGCCAATGATTATATTGAATCCCTAGACACAAAAACTTTCTGGAACATGGGTTGCAGCCAAAGTAAATTATACAGAAAACTGTTAAGAATAATTGAAAATATGACCAAAGTTGATGTTTCAACTCAAATAATTCATACTTAAGGAGTCAATACTTCGTCATTTTTAATGTGATGTGCCAAACTGAAGTTATTTTGTATTCATAGTAATATCACATCTATTTCTATGTAAAATTTGTAGCATTTTGGCCTGATTAAAAAAAACATCAAAATCTTATGGCCAATTTTAACCTGTCGTGAACTTACTCCTGTGTAACATGCTAAGACTCAACTTTATCAGCTGCAAACCAAATATAAAAGCATTCCCTTCCTTAAAAGCCAAGAAAAGTTTTACAAAAATTTTCCTTGTACCATTAGTGTTTCCTACAGGAGGTTTTGGCGTGGTATGGCGCCCTGCCATGTTTTCTTGACGCCCTGCCCTTTTTAGGAAAAAAAATTGGTGCCATGCCCCTTTACCCTCGTATTTTAGAATGCCCCACCGTAATTAAATATCTGTTCTGAAATCCATCTTTTAGCAAAACCTTTTCGATTTATTTCCCTTGGAACAAAATAAAAAATTTAATGGCCGACAATTTATTGAATTGAATTTCGTAATACAAGTAATAACTTCTCTAAAAAGCTAGCCAACTTTAGCTGATGGAAGACGAAATTGTTTTCGCTTTGTAGTTTAATTCATTCAGAATATCCTTGTATATAAATTGCAGTGGATTAGAAAACTTATAAAAGGCTTATACAATTTTTTAGATTTACCAAAATCTTTTTTTGGGGAATGTTTGTATTAACACAGGAAATGGAGGGGTAATGTCTTAATCATCTGTGTTTGTAGCAAACTTTTAAAAATATTTTTTTTAATTTCAGTTTTTCTGATAGATGGACTTAGTTTCTTACAGTTAACATTTACAAACAGTCTGGTATTAAACTTTTTTTTTTACATTTTCAAACCTTCATGGATTGTTATGAAATTTGGAAATAAGCTAATCTTCAAGACCAGGAAAAAGCATCTAACATGTCTAAAGAAAAAGTTTGAAATTTTTTAAAAATTCTTTATACTGATAAATGGACTCACTTTTTAAGTCAACATTACACTTTACACTGATAGCAGCAATCGCAGGCGACACAGGGTTCCCTAGAACCCCTTATGAATTTTTGCTGTTAAGATATTTTTTTACATGTACAAAATGTATTTACAACTATGCTACATATTATAGCTAGACTTGGGAGGATAAAGAACTTAAAATATTGTAATGACATGTCCATTGTAAAAGACCGTATGTTGAACTTGAGAAGTAAATTGTTTAGTTTGTTGTTTAATTGGGTTGCTTTCTAAATACATTATGTATACTTCACATCTCCTTTTAAATCATGCATAAATATCAAATATTGCTTAAAATATGCTAGCATAAATGTATAATTGCTTTTATCGTCTGGAGTTTTTTTGTTAGTTTTCTGTTTTTCAACGTCTGTTATCTTGATAGGAAGAGCTAGGGAGAGTTAGACAACGTCCAACCCAGCCCACACCTTGATCCCCTAAATATCTTGGGGTATGTGGAAAGGGGGAGGCACTTATTATAATGAGTGGAAGGGATGAGCCGCTGGTCGAGAAATTTAGGTGAAATATATAACAAGGTGGATGATTGTGAATCTGAAACTAATCAGATGTCGATATTTTTTTACAGATGCCATTAAAATTACTTTCGTAAATGCTTAAGACATTTGCCAAAACTATTCATCTCCGTTGAAATAGCATAACAATGATAGCTATATGTAGGTATAATTATTGTAAAATAAAGGGAGGTTATCTTAATTGATTAAACCAGTCACCAAAGTTTAATGAAAACTGCTCAAAGCACTTTAAAGGTATTGTCCAAAAACCAGAAAATCACCCCTTTTTTATGAATAAAATCCCATAACTAGAAAGTATAAAATCTTAAATTTATAAAAATTGAAAGGGAGCTTACATCAATAGATATAAACAATTCTCCAAAGTTTCATGAGAACTGCTGAAAGCATTTTTGAGTTATTGTCCGAAAACTGGAAAATCCCCCTTCGTTTTTAATGAATAAAACTCCATAACTCGGAAACATAAAATCTAAAATTTATAAAAATCATAAGGAGCTCATGTCAATAGATATAAACAATTGACCAAAGTTTCTTGCACATTGGTGAAAGCATTTTAGATTTATTGTCCGAAAACTGGAAAATCCCCCCTTTTTTAATGAATAAAACCCTAAACTCAGAAACGTAAAATCCAAATTTTATAAAAAACGAAAGGGAGCTCACATCAATAGTGCAAATTGGTTGAAGCGTGTTTAAGTTAATGTCCGACATGTTGACGACAAAAAAAAAAAGTCTTCTGGCAGTTTCGATGTAAATAGATAGTAGGTGGATCTAAACATTCTGAATATTTGTGCCCATCAGATTTTCCCTAACTATAGCAGTTTTCAAAATAATTGACAAAACTTGCATTCTACCCTTATATTCTATTTCTAGCAATGTCAGCCATCTTGGTTCGCAGGGGGGTCACAGACACATTTTCTTAAACAGACTATAAAAGTCTTTTCTTTTCTATTATTATCTGTTTCTTTAAATTAGTTTCTTAGATACATAATAAATTATGAATGGAAAAATAGTATCTAAATATCTAAATCAAAAGAAGCTTGAGGCTCCACTTAAGTCTATGAGCATCTTCAACAATGCACTCTCTCCAACATTGTGGACTAGAATATATAGAAATCATGACAAAATTGCCTTCACTCCTACATTACTTTATAGAGAGTAAACCAATAATTTCATCAAAATTTTACTTATTTTTAGATCTTGTCTTGCCAATTATTTTTGCTATTTAATGTGTCTTACTATCTTTTATAGTTTTCAAGATAGAAGTAAAAAATGCTTTACGGATCGCAGCCCGATACGATGGCAGAGGTCGAACCCTGAACAGTTGGGGGCATTTTTGGACACAATATTCAAGCTTGATACTGTCTGAATTTGGATTTTGATCCAATTTTTGACATAATATAGGTTTCTGACAAAAAATAAATGTGGTCAAAGATCTTAAAAAATTTATTGCGCAATACTGTGAAATGAAGATTCCTTCTTGAAACTTTTCAAAAATTTGAAATTTGAAAAATTTTTGAAAAGAAAAATATGAACCCCTTAAAAGAATTGGAAAAAAAAATTCCCCCCCCCCCCTTGGAGCAATTACCCCCAAACTCAATCGCAGCCTTCCCTTTGTAGTATGGAACCTTGTAGTACAACTTTAGACAGATCCATACACTTAAACACAAGTTATTGTTTGGAAACTAGAAAAATGTTTGTTTTTGGCCCCTTTTCTGCCCTAATTCCTGCATGTTTGGAGCAATTACCCTCAAACTCAATCCCAGCCTTCCCTTTGTGATATGGAACCTTGTGGTACAATGTCAGAGAGATCCATACACTTATACACAAGTTATTGTCAGGAAACTACAAAAATGCTTGTTTTTGGTCCCTTTTTGGCCCCTTATTCCTAAACTGTTGGTACCATAACCCCCAAAATCAATCCCAACCTTTCTTTTGTGGTATTGAACCTTCTTGTAAAATTTCATAGAGATCCATTCACTTAAACTAAAGTTAGAGTGCGAAAACCAATGTGTCTTCGGACGACGACGATGACGACGCCAACGTCATACCAATATACGACCGCAAAAATTTTTGCGGTCGTATAAAAACCAAACATTGTAGCGCCGCGCACGAAGGAGAACTTCTTTTTCAAATCTCACCACTTCTCCCTATCAGTTTCAAAAAGAGAAGTCAATTTTCCCTATGATTCTAAAGTGTTTTGAGCCCTGTATCTATTATAGTTTTTTCAGATATAAGGCAAAAATGCAAAACTGACAAAAATCGTCATTAAGGGGCATTAACTCCAATAAGGAGTCGTCTGACGATTTCGACCATGTAAACTTATTTGCAGATCACTTTTGGTATATAAAGTTTCTCCCTATCTATTAAAGTTTTTCAGATATTAGGCAAACATGAAAATATCTGTAAAATTCATCATTCATTATCATTAACTCCTATAAGCATGATAAGAAATTGTCTGCCAGTTTTGAAGTAATAGATAATATGTAGATCTCATTATTTTGAACATTTTTGTCCCTGACAGTTTTTCTCCATTCATATCAGTTTTCAAGATAATAGACCAAACTTGCATTTACCCCTATGTTCTATTTTTAGCCATGTCAGCCATGTTGGTTGGCAGGAGGGGGTCATTAGACATATTTTTTTTAATAAACTAGATATCCAAATGATGATTGTGGCCAAATTTGGTCAAATTTGGCCCAGTAGTTTAAGAGATTTTTGTAAAAGTTAATGACGCCAACAGACTTTTAGGCCAGGTGAACTAAAAAGAAAATATATATATATATATGACCTAATAATAAATCACTGGATACAAATCATAAATAAGTATTCTTCTGCCAGCCCCTCCTAAAACAAACAATATTGTGAATAAAAGGGAAAAAAAGACTTCTTAAGATTTCATAGTATAATTTTTTGATGCGTTGTTTTAATTTACCTCATTTTGGAGAAGAAGCAAAATACGATTTCTAAATTCTTTTGTTTTACCCGTCCAGTCTGATATACGTACAATATATGTATCACTTAATAATACTTCATCTGTACATCTTTTTCTAGTCAACTGTTGTAAATGTTTCTTATAAACATACCAATGTTTGTGTGTTATCTGTGTTATCTCCCTGTTTCAATAAAATAAACTTACAATAAAGATATAATGCGCAATTATTTCATTCCTCTCTTGTTTACTATAAAAAAAACATTGGTGTTCTGGTATTTTGAATGTAAAAACTATCTGTTGATTATCACTGAACATGGATCAAATGTCAAATACCAATAAGAGATGTTCTAACTGAAAACATAAATGTTTCTATTTTCAGATTGAAATAATTATTTCAAATTTGTCTTTCCTTCATATGACAATTTAGATAACATGTTATCAGGTTATATTGTCTATTGTTGAAGACCATTTTGACAAGTTTCATTGATTGGTTACTGTCTCATTGACATATATTTCACATTTTTTTTCATTTAGCACAAGTTCAATGCTGAAGTTCAACCAATCTATATTTGTAGAAATATAATTTTGTAATTATTCTTTGGGCTTTTTTGTGTCTTGTTTAATGTTGCAGTATTTAGAATGAAACACTATATGTTGATTATCTTCCCTTTTAGAGTTGAGACACTCTTACATTTGAAACAAATTTCAGTAGTAAATGGTCCTACACATATAATGTACACTTACCTATAATAGCAACTAGACTGGGCAATGTTCACACTGACTGGACAAGGTTTACATTGACTGGACAAATATCTAATTGACTGGACAAGGATCTAATACAAATAATAGATGTTCAATCTGGAAATATAAACAGATAAATGTTTCTATTTCAATTAGAAATAATAATAACACTTTATAATTGATTGATCGACTGATTGGTGTTTAATGCCACTTTCAACAAAATTGTGCTATTTCGTGGCAGTCAGTTTTTATTGGTGGAGGAAGATGGAGAGCCTGGAGAGAACCACCCACCTTCTGTAGGAAAACTGAGAATCCTAGTCAATTAAGATTGGAGTCAAGTGCTCCTGCCCCGTGTGGGAATTGAACTCGAAACCTCAGTGTTGACAGGCTAGTGAAACAGTAGGTCGACTACTTAGACCACTCAGCCACCGAGGCCTGAAAATTTTATCAAGACGATGATTTTTTGTTGAATACCATTTTGACCTTTATCATTGATTGGTTGCTGTCTGTTTGACATAGAACTCCTAGTGTTCTGACTAAGAACTTTTGAAGGGGAGTCCAGGGAATCTATTGTTGAATACTATTTTGACCTCTATCATTGATTGGTTGCTGTCTGTTTGACATAGACCTCCTAGGGTTCTGACTAAGGACTTTTGAAGGGGAGTTCAATGAATCTATTGTTGAATACCATTTTGACCTGTCTCATTGATTGGTTGCTGTCTGTTTTACATAGACCTCATAGGGTTCTGACTAAGGATTTTTGGAGGGGAGTCAAGGGAATTTATTGTTGAATACCATTTTGACCTGTCTCATTGATTGGTTGCTGTCTGTTTTACATAGACCTCCTAGGGTTCTAAGGATTTTTGAAGGGGAGTCAAGGGAATCTATTGTTGAATACCATTTTGACCTGTCTCATTGATTGGTTGCTGTCTGTTTGACATATACCTCCTAGGGTTCTGACTTAGGATTTTTGAATGGGAGTCCAGGGAATCTATTGTTGAATACTATTTTGACTTCTATCATTGATTGGTTGCTGTCTGTTTGACATAGACCTCCTAGGGTTCTGACTAAGGATTCTTGAAGGAGAGTCCAGGGAATCTATTGTTGAATACCATTTTGACCTGTCTCATTGATTGGTTGCTGTCTGTTTTACATAGACTTCCTAGGGTTCTGACTAAGGACTTTTGAAGGGGAGTCAAGGGAATCTATTGTTGAATACAATTTTGACCTGTCTCATTGATTGGTTGCTGTCTGTTTTACAGACCAGGGTTCTGACAAAGGACTTTTGAAGGAGAGTCCAGGGAATCTATTGTTGAATACCATTTTGACCTGTCTTATTGATTGGTTGCTGTCTGTTTGACACAGACTTAGGGTTCTGACAAAGGTCTTTTGAAGGGGAGTTCAGGGAATCTATTGATGAATACCATTTTGACCTGTCTCATTGATTGGTTGCTGTCTGTTTGACACAGACCTAGGGTTCTGACAAAGGATTTTTGAATGGGAGTCCAGGGAATCTATTGTTGAATACCATTTTGACTTCTAGCATTGATTAGTTGCTGTCTGTTTGACATAAACCTCCTAGGGTTCTGACTAAGGACTTTTGAAGGAGAGTCCAGGGAATCTATTGTTGAATACCATTTTGACCTGTCTCATTGATTGGTTGCTGTCTGTTTTACATAGACCTCCTAGGGTTCTGACTAAGGACTTTTGAAGGGGAGTCCAGGGAATCTATTGTTGAATACCATTTTGACCTGTCTCATTGATTGGTTGCTGTCTGTTTTACAGACCAGGGTTCTGACAAAGGACTTTTGAAGGAGAGTCCAGGGAATCTATTGTTGAATACCATTTTGACCTGTCTCATTGATTGGTTGCTGTCTGTTTGACATAGACCTCCTAGTGTTCTGACTAAGAACTTTTGAAGGGGAGTCCAGGGAATCTATTGTTGAATACTATTTTGACCTCTATCATTGATTGGTTGCTGTCTGTTTGACATATACCTCCTAGGGTTCTGACTAAGGACTTTTGAAGGGGAGTTCAGGGAATCTATTGTTGAATACCATTTTGACCTGTCTCATTGATTGGTTGCTGTCTGTTTGACATAGACCTCCTAGGGTTCTAAGGATTTTTGAAGGGGAGTCAAGGGAATCTTTTGTTGAATACCATTTTGACCTGTCTCATTGATTGGTTGCTGTCTGTTTGACATATACCTCCTAGGGTTCTGACTTAGGATTTTTCAATGGGAGTCCAGGGAATCTATTGTTGAATACCATTTTGACTTCTATCATTGATTGGTTGCTGTCTGTTTGACATAGACCTCCTAGGGTTCTGACTAAGAACTTTTGAAGGAGAGTCCAGGGAATCTATTGTTGAATACCATTTTGACCTGTCTCATTGATTGGTTGCTGTCTGTTTTACAGACCAGGGTTCTGACAAAGGACTTTTGAAGGAGAGTCCAGGGAATCTATTGTTGAATACCATTTTGACCTGTCTTATTGATTGGTTGCTGTCTGTTTGACACAGACTTAGGGTTCTGACAAAGGTCTTTTGAAGGGGAGTTCAGGGAATCTATTGATGAATACCATTTTGACCTGTCTCATTGATTGGTTGCTGTCTGTTTGACACAGACCTAGGGTTCTGACAAAGGATTTTTGAATGGGAGTCCAGGGAATCTATTGTTGAATACCATTTTGACTTCTAGCATTGATTAGTTGCTGTCTGTTTGACATAAACCTCCTAGGGTTCTGACTAAGGACTTTTGAAGGAGAGTCCAGGGAATCTATTGTTGAATACCATTTTGACCTGTCTCATTGATTGGTTGCTGTCTGTTTTACATAGACCTCCTAGGGTTCTGACTAAGGACTTTTGAAGGGGAGTCCAGGGAATCTATTGTTGAATACCATTTTGACCTGTCTCATTGATTGGTTGCTGTCTGTTTTACAGACCAGGGTTCTGACAAAGGACTTTTGAAGGAGAGTCCAGGGAATCTATTGTTGAATACCATTTTGACCTGTCTCATTGATTGGTTGCTGTCTGTTTGACATAGACCTCCTAGTGTTCTGACTAAGAACTTTTGAAGGGGAGTCCAGGGAATCTATTGTTGAATACTATTTTGACCTCTATCATTGATTGGTTGCTGTCTGTTTGACATATACCTCCTAGGGTTCTGACTAAGGACTTTTGAAGGGGAGTTCAGGGAATCTATTGTTGAATACCATTTTGACCTGTCTCATTGATTGGTTGCTGTCTGTTTGACATAGACCTCCTAGGGTTCTTAGGATTTTTGAAGGGGAGTCAAGGGAATCTTTTGTTGAATACCATTTTGACCTGTCTCATTGATTGGTTGCTGTCTGTTTGACATATACCTCCTAGGGTTCTGACTTAGGATTTTTCAATAGGAGTCCAGGGAATCTATTGTTGAATACCATTTTGACCTGTCTCATTGATTGGTTGCTGTCTGTTTTACAGACCAGGGTTCTGACAAAGGACTTTTGAAGGAGAGTCCAGGGAATCTATTGTTGAATACCATTTTGACCTGTCTTATTGATTGGTTGCTGTCTGTTTGACACAGACTTAGGGTTCTGACAAAGGTCTTTTGAAGGGGAGTTCAGGGAATCTATTGATGAATACCATTTTGACCTGTCTCATTGATTGGTTGCTGTCTGTTTGACACAGACCTAGGGTTCTGACAAAGGATTTTTGAATGGGAGTCCAGGGAATCTATTGTTGAATACCATTTTGACTTCTAGCATTGATTAGTTGCTGTCTGTTTGACATAAACCTCCTAGGGTTCTGACTAAGGACTTTTGAAGGAGAGTCCAGGGAATCTATTGTTGAATACCATTTTGACCTGTCTCATTGATTGGTTGCTGTCTGTTTTACATAGACCTCCTAGGGTTCTGACTAAGGACTTTTGAAGGGGAGTCCAGGGAATCTATTGTTGAATACCATTTTGACCTGTCTCATTGATTGGTTGCTGTCTGTTTTACAGACCAGGGTTCTGACAAAGGACTTTTGAAGGAGAGTCCAGGGAATCTATTGTTGAATACCATTTTGACCTGTCTCATTGATTGGTTGCTGTCTGTTTGACATATACCTCCTAGGGTTCTGACTAAGGACTTTTGAAGGGGAGTTCAGGGAATCTATTGTTGAATACCATTTTGACCTGTCTCATTGATTGGTTGCTGTCTGTTTGACATAGACCTCCTAGGGTTCTTAGGATTTTTGAAGGGGAGTCAAGGGAATCTTTTGTTGAATACCATTTTGACCTGTCTCATTGATTGGTTGCTGTCTGTTTGACATATACCTCCTAGGGTTCTGACTTAGGATTTTTCAATGGGAGTCCAGGGAATCTATTGTTGAATACCATTTTGACTTCTATCATTGATTGGTTGCTGTCTGTTTGACATAGACCTCCTAGGGTTCTGACTAAGAACTTTTGAAGGAGAGTCCAGGGAATCTATTGTTGAATACCATTTTGACCTGTCTCATTGATTGGTTGCTGTCTGTTTTACATAGACCTCCTAGGGTTCTGACTAAGGACTTTTGAAGGGGAGTCAAGGGAATCTATTGTTGAATACAATTTTGACCTGTCTCATTGATTGGTTGCTGTCTGTTTGACACAGACCTAGGGTTCTGACAAAGGATTTTTGAATGGGAGTCCAGGGAATCTATTGTTGAATACCATTTTGACTTCTAGCATTGATTAGTTGCTGTCTGTTTGACATAAACCTCCTAGGGTTCTGACTAAGGACTTTTGAAGGAGAGTCCAGGGAATCTATTGTTGAATACCATTTTGACCTGTCTCATTGATTGGTTGCTGTCTGTTTTACATAGACCTCCTAGGGTTCTGACTAAGGACTTTTGAAGGGGAGTCCAGGGAATCTATTGTTGAATACCATTTTGACCTGTCTCATTGATTGGTTGCTGTCTGTTTTACAGACCAGGGTTCTGACAAAGGACTTTTGAAGGAGAGTCCAGGGAATCTATTGTTGAATACCATTTTGACCTGTCTCATTGATTGGTTGCTGTCTGTTTGACATATACCTCCTAGGGTTCTGACTAAGGACTTTTGAAGGGGAGTTCAGGGAATCTATTGTTGAATACCATTTTGACC